GCCCCTTTCGTCGGCAGGTCAGGCCCTCCACGTTTCAAGTGGAAGCTGCTGGCATGGGAACCTCCGCGCCGGCGTACGTACCGCGAGCCCAAGGTCTATGCGTGGGCGACGGCCAAGAGATGGTGTCAGCATCTCAGGTCGGAGCGGGACCGACTAGGCAGGTTTTGTCAACGGTTACAGTTGGCTTCAGTGGTCTGCCAGCTAACGCCCCTGCAGTACACCAAGGTGTTGCAGGCCTTCTACGAGGTGGACCAATATTGCCGCAGGATCGCCCGCGACAAGAAGACATGTCACTACCTTGATCAGGACACCGTAGACTTCCTGCTGCGGGGCCTGGGCATGATCGGCGATGCTGACTTCGACTCGGGCCTGGACAACATCACGAGGAAGGCCGATGATGTGCTGAAGGCAGCGAGAGGGGCCTCGGAGAAGGCTTGGCGAGGCTGGGCTAAGCAGGCTTTCTTAGGTGGGGCCAGTCGGGCCCATGCAGCCTCCAAGGTGCGTGGCAAGCAGGAGCAGCTCAATTTCGACGTGAACGCGCAGCCGTACCTGCTGGCAAACCACACCCTTGACGTGTGGGAGGGAGTATGGCGGCATCACGACCTTTTGCCCCCTGAGCTGCCGCCAGGCCACGAGAGCTGGCCTGCTCTGCCCGAGCTCGACCACCAGCAAGTGCGGGCTGCCATTCGCAGGTTTTCGACGCGGACGGCAGCTGGGCCGAGCAGAATTTCACCCAGATGCCTGGACGCTCTGTCGGACCAAGCGCTCGAGCGCATGGCCAAGATGTTTATGGTTTTCGAGCAGTGGCTGTCCTGGCCTCCTGAGCGGGTGTACAGTGAAATGGTTCGTTTACCCAAACCTGACGGGGACACACGATTGATTGTTCTATCTCACGCTTTGGTGCGTATCTGGGGCAAGCTCAGGAGACCAGTTTCGGCAGCGTGGCAGGCTGGCTACCAGTGCGACAGATGTGGGGCACGAGAGCGGGCCACACGTCTACGGACTCGGCGTTTGATCATAATATTCAGCAGGAGGTTGCGCAGTTGTTGGGGGAGCAGACATGTACGATCTTGCTTGATATGAGCAAGTGTTACGACATGGTGGACCCACATGCGTTGCTCCGAGAAGGCCAGGCTCTGGGGTTTCCACTACGTTTGCTGTGGCTCCTCATTCAGAGCTACCAACAGCCCCGTCGTATAAGGGCCTTTGGGAGTGTATCCAGAGGGTTTCGGTCCTTCCAGGGGATCCTAGCTGGGTGTACTCACGCTACGTACGTCTTGTACTTGCTTACCTATAGGTCGGTGCAGAGGGTCTCGAAGGTCTCCCCCACGGTGACCCCGAGGACGCTCATGGACGACATTGGGCTCCAACATACCTCCCAGGACCCCACGGAGGCCAAGTACCTTGCGCTGGCGGCGAGGGGTTTCATCCAGGACTCCAAGGGCCTCGGCATGATCTTGAAGGCTTCCAAGTCTGGGGCTGTTGTTGGTTCTCGGAAGTTCTGGAAGGGGGTGCAGCGCCACATGGGCTCCATGAAGATCCCGTACAAAGGCCACATGAGGAACCTAGGTCACGAGCTCACGGGGCCCAAGGTGATTCGAGGCATGGAAAAGAAGCGTCTCAAACAGCTCAGAGAGAGGAAGGCGAGGTTTTCCATGCTGAAGTCTGCTGTCGGCAAGGTCGCGACGGCTCTGTGGCGCACAGGCGCCCTCCCATCAGTGGCGCACGGTGCTGCAGTTGCTGGAGTAAGCGACGTTGCACTGCGAGAGTTGCGTCTTTTCGCCGCCGTCTTGAACGGCGCGCCAGGTAAGTTTAATACTGGTGTGACCGCCTACTTGGTTAGCCACAAGAGCGATTTCTACGATCCTATTTACCACGCCACTCTAGCCATTGTCATCAAGTTTGCGGAGTGGGTCTGGGACAGGAGAATACCCGACAGTCGCTTACATCGGGCTTGGGAGGCTCTTCGAGATAAGATTGGCACTCTGTCTTGGGCAAATACTCGGGGCCCGATCGGGGCCTGTTGGCTGACCTTACGACGTATTGGGTGGAATCTAGTATCTAGTCATATGGTGGCTGATGATGTAGGCAACGTTTTCGATTTGCGAGTTATGTGCCCCGCCGACCTGAAGGTCTTCCTCACTCAGGGGATCCAGCGTTGGCAGGACGAGCGGCTGCTCAAGCATTTTTATACTGCTGAGCCTGGCGAGCAGATATGGCACCGAGGCTTACGGAACTCGGTGAAGAGCATCAAGTGCGTTCGTAGACTCGGGGCCCTCCAAGCGCACTGGTCGGGAAACCTCCCCATCCCTCAGCTCCAAGATGCCCGCCATAAGGTACCAATCAGGCCGTGTGCTGCTTGTGGGGCCCAGTCTCAGGGTATTTGGGGCCACGTGCTCTACGACTGCCCCGAGCTGCTCAAGCAGCGCGAGGACTTCTTGGACATCTCAGAGGACTTGGAGGCAACCAGAGGCATGCTCCTGAAGGGGGGCGAATGGTATGATGGGCGTCTGGCTTGGGACTCCAGTTATCTGGTCTTCGGGGTCCCTGCTCCTCCTGTGGGTATTCCTGGGCTCGACACTATAAGCACGGAAGTTCTTCTTTGGGGTGATACCGACGGGCCTTGGGGCCCCAAGAGCTACACCGATGGCTCGGGCCTCGCATCCAGCGTTCCAGAGACTAGGCGGTGTGGGTATTCATGCACCCAGCTGGACCCCAAGACTCTTTTGCCTGTCCGTGCTGTGTACGGACCCCTGCCCTTCTATGTGCAGACTGTTGGCCGTGCGGAGAGATATGCGATCAAAATGGGTTTGGAATTTCACCCAGATCACGAGCTGTTTGTGTCTGACCTCCTGGGACTGGTTACCGAGGGCAACTCATGGGACCAATCCCTCCAGCACGGCCGAGGCAAGCACGCCAAGATATGGCGAGAGATTTTTCAGGCCGCGCAGCGTCGGGTACTTGAGTACCCTGTTCGGTTTGAGTGGACTCCTGCACACCGTGACATCGACAGTGTGCTGGAGAATCCTGAAGAGGTGGAGAACTGGCTCGGCAATGCCTGGGCTGACTATTTCGCCAAGGCGGGCGCGGCGCACCACATGATCGCCAACACGGTTTCCCAGTCGCTCTCGGAGGCCCTGAAGGTCCATAAGGCCACGTTGCAGTTTGTGTCTTGGGCGTGCTTACGGGTTATCGTCTCGGAGAGCTGGGGCCGAGGCCCCCCACCACCTGTCCAGGATCCTGAGGCTCGTGAGATCCTGGGGCAGCCAGTCGTATTCGGACGGGGTTCTGACCATGAGCTTTGGTGGTGCAAGAGGCTCAATGAGCACAGGTGCAGGAGTTGCGGGAGATCGGCGCGATCGGACTCGACCCTAGCGTGGCTTAGGACGGGGTCGGGAAGGAGATGTGAGCCCTCTAGCCTCCAGAGAGTAGCCTGTGCGGAATGGTTTAAGAATTCGGTGGAGGTCTGGGTCAAAGTGTCGGACCCCCGCGTCGCCCCGTCGCAGGTGATCGTCGCGGAGTTTCTTGGGGAAGGGCCCTCAGCGGCCTCGGAGGGTCCCCTTCCTGGGCCCACGGACCCTCCCCAGGAGCCTGCCGTAGGCGAGGTTTCAAACAGTTCGGGGTCGAACGAGTTCATTGCTGAATTTGCGGCATTGGGCCATGACGTTTTTTGTGTGAATTCAGTCTACTGCTGCCGCAGGTGTGCGGGCACGACGACCCTCGAGACGTCACGGAGCGTTCGGAAGCTCCGTCGTCCCTGTGCTGGGCTCTCAGAGAATCCGAGCACGAGGGCTAATCAGCTGGGGTTGATCGACAGGATCTTCCACGGCCGACCAGGGCGCCCCAAGCGCCCCGAGGGCAAGGCGCAGACGTAACGTGTCTCGCCCTCCTGGGAGCGGTTTTGTGGCGTCGGTTTTCCCTGGCCCCCGCCTGCCCTCCCAGTTCATAATATTTCCGCCGCGTTGCGGCCCTCAGGGTCCCATCTGTTCCTGAGGCGTGTTCGGATCGGACGCGCTCTCGGTGGCCCTCACCCTCACCCTCCTCCTCCTCCTCCTCCTCCTCCTCCTCCTCCTCCTTTCAATGCGTCCTCGCTCTCCTCCGCTTCTTCTTTCTCCCCCGCGTGTTCCTCGAAAGGTTTCCACAGCGGCTGGGGGAACACATGGTCGGATAGCTTGGCAGAGCTCTGGCCACAACGTTCGACCACATGGGCGATTCCAAAAGGCAGGGGGCGGCGGTGATTCGCCGTAGGCGTCTTCGATATTGAGATCGGCCGCTCTTAGTTGCCCACATGCGATCAAGTGCTTTACCCCTACCCCTCGAAATCTACCCGGCTCCCACTCTTCGCATTTCCTATTCTAGAGGTTCATTATCCTTAACAACTGTGGCGATGACCTGGCAAGGAAGGAATGATGACAATAATATGGCATGGCCCTGGCTAAGTCAAGTGGCCCGCGGAGGGCTTGAAAGATGACAGCCTTATGGTGTGTGTTGCGCGGTTGTCCTGAGAGGCCAGGCGGGTCGCCTCGGAAATACTTTCCGAGAACGTCCAGCGCGGGAGCCGCTTTTACATTGTTCCACCAGGAGGGCCCACTCTGGGTAATGAACTTAGTGTGTGGATGTGTCAAGCATTGCTTCCCCAGGCGTAGCCGATGTGCTGTGCGTGAAAAGACTAGGTGCGCAGCACATTGTACGGTCACAGCACTTGCGTTTACACCATAAGTAAAGTAGCCCGCGTAGCAGAAGCACTCCTCGGGCACTTGCCCTATGACTATGTCGGACCGCTCGGCACTAACACTCCGATCGTTTGCCCCCCCCCCGCCAGCCCGGCAAGTGCTCAAACTAGAGTCGTCGCTGGGAGCTATGCGATATTCATATCCGTGTAGACTTTTGTTCGACTGGCCAGTTCGGTTGACGCACGGGAGCCATAAACGTAGCCCGAATGCGCACAATCCCCCGAGAAGGTATGCCAGGAAGCGGGTGAAGGGGGTTTGGCCGATGGCCTGATGTGGTACTGGTCGGAAGTCTGGATAATGGGTACCTGCTCAGGCGGCACCGTGTAATCCACCTGAACATGGTCTTTCAGCTCCAGCAATTCCGTCTCCAACAACAAGTCAACTACCTCCTTGGAACAGCGCTGCTCACCCCGCTTGATCCCAGGCAGAACACAGTACGGGACGACATCGCCATTCTCCCTCAAGACCTCACCAATCATCAGGCAATCTCTCCCTTCTGTCCTCCTGCTCCAGTCCCCCTTTCCTCATCGCACCCCCGGGCCCCCTCCTCCTCCTCCTCCTCCTCCTCCTCCTCCTCCTCCTCCTCCTCCTCATCCTCCTCCTCCTACTTCTCTAGCTCTGGTTCTTCTTCTTCTTCTTCTCCTCCTCCTCCTTCTCCTCCTCCTCCTTCTCTCCTCGTCCTCCTCTTAATTCTCCGGGACCTCACCAACTTTCACAAGGATCCGCTGATCACGGGGCCCTCTCTGTATGCGTAGCGCGACTACGAACACCGTGCGCACCATCTCGGATCCCACGTCAGTAATGTTGCACTTGCCGTCGGCGATTTCTGCCTCAAGAAGGTCTATGGCCTTCTGGGAGAAGAAGGTTCGACTCCGGAGCTTCTGGATCAGCGGGTCTGCCAGCTTAACCTGAGAAGGCGTGAGAACGCTGCTCCTCCTCCCTGCCCTTTCCTCGTAAGCCTCCCGACAAATTGCATGAGGTTAGCGGGTGTTGGATGGACTCTTTCACGACCCATGCCCATGGGATCGGGGGCAGGGGGGTGACGTTCTCCACTGCGGGCGCCCGTGAAGTGATGCCCAGCCCAAGCATCAGCTCGTGATAATCCACCACGCCTGGGAGGTCACTCAGTCTCACGATGTCCTCCAGGCGCACGCTTATTTTACGGGGGGGGATGGGGCACAAGGGTCGATCAAAACTGTGCTTAATGTTTCTTACTGCTGTCGCACCCAGACGGAACCAGTGTTATGTTAGGACCGAACAGCATTTTTGGGGGCCGAGCATTTTTTCTTCGCCAAGAGCGTAGAACAAATATTACTCGGTCCGAACAAAAATTGTTGTTCGGTCCCATTTTTTGATTTTCCAACACGGCAGAATGTTTGGTCAATTCCAGAGCGGCAGTTGGCCCACGGTGGCCCCCATGGCGGCAGCAGCAATCACGAAACGAGCACGAAAACTGTCGACTATATCGCACACAAACACAAGAGTTGGAAGACGACGTGGAGGAGGAACACAAGGAGGAGGAATCGATGTAGGATGAGAAGGCGGAAGATGAGGAGAAGAGAGGGGCTGGGGGGCTAGTAACGCACGGCGTCCTCGAGATACCCGTGAAAGGCCCGGCAGTAGTCGGACGTTATTTCCAGGATCTCGGGCATCCTGTCCAGCGCCCGCATCAGCCTCGCAGCTGGCGATTGCTGTGACATCCGAGAGCCCAAGGGCGTCCTCCCCATCCCTCCCCAAGCTCCTTCCTCAACCTCTCGGCCCTCATCCAACTCCTTTTCATGTCCTCCCTCCTCCTGTCTCCCTCCTCGTTTCGAGGGGCCGTGGTCGGAACAACAGCTGCGTTCGTGGCCCTGTCTCACGGGCTTTGCGACCCATCCGGCTATCCTTTAGGCATCCGTGTGGTACGAAGACCACCTCAATGCAGTATCCAGCCAGCCCTGTCTCCCTCTCTCCCTCTCTTTCGATCCCTTCCATCCTCCCGCCGCTCTCCTCCCTTTCTCCCTGCCCCTTTTCTCTGTTTCCCCCGCTACCTTCGCCAACACCCCCCTTCCTTTCTAATACCCCTCCCTCTGACCTGATCCCCTCTTCCCCAGACCTCCCTCCCTCCCTCCCTCCCTCCTCTCTCGCTGTCCCCCCTCGCTTCTCTGACCTGCCTCTTGTTCCCTGCCTCCTTCCCCACCCCACCCTCCAACTCCCGCGCGCTCTCCCTGTCCAATCCACCCCCAACATCGTGTTTTGTTGTGACGCGTGCCCCTGGGGCTCTCGACCCCTCCCCGGGAACCCACTGTTCGGCCAGGGTAGTTGTTGCTGATGGCCCCAGGGTCCGAATCTGACACCCAAGCAAAGAACTCGGACAAACAGCAGTCGCGCTTTTTTTCTCCCGCGTTGCCGATGGGGTCTGGGCTCTGGGCATGAAAAGCGCCCCTGGACCTGTCGGGGTGTATTGTGGCCATGCCTCCGACGAGCACGGCGGCAAACACGTGTGCAGGAAAGTCGCTCCTCGCTTCTGGGCCCCCCTCGCCACCCTATTTGCTGACCACGAGGGCGCCAGGCTCTTCGAGCCTCCCAATCGCCACCGCCAGGGCCGAGCCCCCCCTTCGACCGCGGGGCTCGGGTGGGGAGCCTGGCGACACTCTGTGCGGCTGGGGGCGGCACTCGGCCCAGAGGGGGGATGGATCTACGGGTCCACCTCACAGGTATGCTTCCTTCCTCCTCCCCCCTCCGTCTCTTCGGATTGTCTTCCCCCCTCCCCCTCCTCCTCCTCCTCCTCCTCCTCCTCCTCCTCCTCCTCCTCCTCCTCCCCTTCAAAGAATGGCAAAGAGATGGCAAATTTTATGCGTCGGTGGGTTTCTGGGAGAATGCCCTCGCAGCGACGACTGGTCGCAGTTCGGAACACTTGTTTGGATGGCGCACGGGAGGCTTTGTCCGGATGGGCCAGCCCAAAAGAAGGACAACATGACAAGCAGGACGGTCAAATAAAAGAGGAGGAGGAGGAGGAGGAGGAGGAGGAGGAGGAGGAGGAGGAGGAGGAGGAGGAGGGGGGGGAGGAGGAGGAGGAGAAGGTCGTTGTGCCCCAAGGGGGAAGGGTCAGGATCCTGGCGCCGCGGCCCGAAAGCGGGGATAGGCGGGCAGGAGCCGCGGCTGGGCTGGGCTGAAGAAGAAGCCCCTGGCACGGAGGAATCGCCTTGTGCCGCGTGCCGCTCTTCGCGGCGATCCCGAACTCAATGCCGCTGCATGCCCGAAAAACAATCGAAACGCACTCGGGTCCTTCAGATTTGCGACATTCGTGGAAATAGCACTGTGCTCACGAGCCCATTCGCGTCAGCGAAGAACGGGTTTCGACGATGAGCTGAGCGGGCAACGCGGCGGGCAGCCGTCGCTCGGGAGGACTTCGAGCGACCATGAGCATGTAAACTTGTGCCGCGGACCACCCTGGCGGCCAGTTTTCGGATCGCTGCGCCAGCTCCAAGGGCTCGCGGCAAAAGGAGGACCACCAACGCAACAAGTGGCCTCGTTGTCAAACGCCCGCGCGGTGAGAAAGGGGCCTAGCGGAAGCTAGACGGAAACAGGTCGTGGCCGATCCTGTCCTGTCGAAACAGGTCGTGGTCGATCCTGCCCTGTCGCAAACACTATACACGCGTTGAACATCAACGGCGCGTGGTCCATGATCTCAGACTGGAGCGGCCCCCTGGGCTCGCCAGCGGAAGGCAGTGGATCGCGCCTGAGCGATGATCCAGGTGGGCAGCGCGGTGGGGTACCTGTCGCTGGTGGCAGACGTGCCAGTGCCTGAGCGCCCATGGAGTGGGCTTGGCCTGACCGACTCGTGATCTCAGCGGGGGGCTTGATCGCGCTCCGCCGCAATCTGTCCCCAGCCCACCCCCCGCGCGAACGCGCCGAATGCTTCTGCCCGCGTGCGGGGGGATGTTCGAAAACCTCGTCGGCCATGTTCGGACCGCCCATGACAAAGAACGTCTGGCTTCACGGTGCATCCGTGACCCGATGGCGGATGGAAAGGCGGGCCTGCGGGAGCTCGCCAGCACTTCCCGCGCGAGTCCATGATCAATAATACGTGTTCCAGGAGATCAGGCTGAGCACCGAACTTCTTTCGCTGGCAACGGCAGCTGTCTGCGTTCGCCTGCGCGCGCCTCTTCCGCGCGAGGGCAGCCGAGGCTCCTCGGAGGCAGAAGGGGGGAGAAGAACAACCTCGCCTCTCTTCTCGCACGCCGCGATGCTCACGAACGCCGCGTGGTCAAGACTCCCTGCCCAGATGGCTGTGGCAAGGGTTTTCTGGTTCCGATGAATCTTTTGCAGATGAGTGATCGCTTTGCTCGTGGCAGCCTTCGGGTAGAGGTGTCATCCTTCGGGCGCGCGCGTCGCAATGTCCAAGGGCTCGAGCGTCACGCGTCGAGTGAAAAACTCCGCGCGCGCCCGCCGCTGCTCCAACCGCTCCGCTGGGAGAACTGGGGCGCGCGGATCTCGGCCGCCATCGCGTCGGGGGCTTCTTTGGAGTTGCCGGGGCCGCGAGGTCCCAGCCGAACTTTTCTGTCGCGGTGCCAGCGGTCGCGCGGCGCACAGGGCCGGCGTCGGGCTGCAAAACGGCGAATGAAGACGCAAACGGTGCGAAAAGAGGCGGAGGGCGGCCGGGGGGTGGGAGGCGCGGTCGGGCGGCGCACGTAGACCGCGGCGGCGCGGCGCGGCGACATCAGGCCCCAAGCGGGAGTCGCGCGAAGGCGGCTGCTCGGGGCGGGAACGACCGTGGAGAGCGGCGCAGCGCGACCCTGCCAGTGGGCAAGGGGTCCGAGCGTTTCTCGAAAAGACCAATGCGCTGCGGAGACGCAGAATGCGCGAGGCGCAGTGGTGGGGGGGGCGAGCCGCGCGCTATGAGCCAGGCGCAGGTGAGGCGCCTGCCTGTCCGGGGACAGAAAGGGCCTCCGGTCGCGCGGGAATTCGCTGAAACCGCCGCTGGCGTGCCGGAATCCAAGCGAAGCCCGCTGCAGCAGCCGGGCTGCCGGGCTGGGCTCGCGCATCCGGGCGGGCCGCGCGCCAGCCGCGGCGCCGGCAGCGGGGCGAGGAGGGGTAGGAGCGGAAAGAGGAGGCCACTGCCGCCGTCGCAACGCCCGTGCGCAGCGGCGAGTCAGGCTGCAACGGCGCCAAGAAGGCCCGAGGCCAAACGGCGCGGTCGGGTAGACCAACAAGTAACGGCCAGGACCCACGGACTCGGTAGCATCAGGCCCGGTAGCCCATCTTCAGCGGCGAAGAGAAGCCGCGTGCTCGCGAAAAAAGCTGGGAAGGGCCAGGTAGGGCCAGGGGCCGAGGAAGGGAGGGGTAGCGCCCCGGGCGGAGCGGCCCGCGCGGAGGCAGCACCATGGCCGCGGTCCAGGGCCGCAGCGTCGGCGCCAGCGGAGCCGCTGGGCTGGCGGCAGCGAGCCGCCGGCCTGTCGCTGACAACCTGGCGGGTCGGACTGGGCGAGCGGTCGGGCCGCGGGCGCTTGCTGGCGCCTCGCCCATCGTCGCCCCAGGGCGCGCTCGCCGCCGCCTCCACTGCGCGGGTCCGCAGGCCTTTTGCTGTTGAAGTCGCCAGGGGGGGTCCCAAGCGACGTGCGCGCCGACTGCGCGCGACCAGGCGGCGACGTCGTTGTCGGCGCGGCGAAACGCTGGCAGTCGCCGTCAGCATTCTTCTCGGAATCGTCGATGGAACAGCGGGCGCGCCTCTGCCGGGCAAAGCGGGCGACGAACGCGCGGTGGACCTCGAGTCGCAGTCGGCGAGTGGCGGCCTGCGCCGACTCGCCCCAGAGCGGTTCACAGGAAAGGTCAAGGCGTAGGCGCTTGCAGATGCAGATGGGCCCCGTTGGAATCCGAAGGGCCACTTTGATCAGCATCCGCTTTGCCCGCGGGTTTGCATTCATGCGCAAGGGTGCCCTTGCGCGCGGTCGACCGCAGCCCCAGAAGATCGGGGAGGCGTCTGCGCGCTCGTTCGAGGGCCACGTCGGCCGCGATGTGTTTGCGATTCTTGTCGGGCCCAATGATGAAAAATACTCGTTGCTGTCTGTGGGGCCCGGCGTGGGGGCGCCTCCAGTCGCTGGGCCCCCATTGGAAAATCTCTACGTACGGCCTGCGCAGACGAAGAAGGCCAGCGCCCCCAGCGCCCGCGATGGGCAGAGGAGACACACGGCGCCGCCAGACTGGGCCTGACTGGAACACTCCAAGGGCCCAGCCTGGCAGGGGGCACCAAACCCGCTCCGACTGCGCAGCAGGCCCAGGGCGGCAAGAGGGTGGGTAACAAGAACGACCTCGCTGGCCCGTCCTGCGAGCCAACGCCAGAGGAAATCCGCACACGCGCCCCGCGCGCAGCACGGCCCCCACGTGCCACGGCGGCCCGAGACACCCAGCCTCGCTAGGCTGAGCACGCCCGCCCAGCAGACCACGAAGCACGGAAGCTCGCCGGCGACGAGCAGCGAAGCACAATTATCATCGCAAACCGCGCCGCCGCAGTGGCCACGGCCTCCCGAGGAGGCGCCGCGAAGCACGACCACCTTCGCACCCCAGCCGGCACAACCAACCAACCAGCCAGCCGAAGGTGGGAGGAGAGAAGGCGACGTGGCATCCCCACGCCGAGGTCCGCCTGCCGCGCGCGGCTTGAGCATGTAAGCACAGAGCGGACCCCACGATCCGCT